AGAATGTAAATAAGGACACAAGAAGTAAAGTAACTCTATTACCCAATGCTGTATATTCACAGTAGACAATTCTTGGATCAAAAAAACAGAAAAAAATTCCTACTTGTAAAAATGATTCTAATAAAGATCACAATTTATGAAAAATTGTTTGGTACATTTAGGGTAGAGCTCAAAGGGAAATTTAGCACTGAACACATATACCAACATCTAAGGAATAATAAACATACAACAAAAAGTTGAAAAGGGAAAAAAATAAGATCAATCAAAGGAAAGCAGAAATAATGATATTGCATAGGAGGGTCCTCCAACACACGTCATCTTCCCGAGCTCAGCCTCCCCCACTTGCCCAAAATCATCACAGCTGAGCTTATTGACTGTTTACTTCCAGCATGGAAGGAGAGGTAGGGAGAGCTGCTGGAGTCTCACCTTGGGGTCCAGCCTCACCTTCCAACCCCTGATGAGCAATTCAGCCCTAATTGCATGTTTCCTGGGGAAGTGGAGGGGCTAGAGTATGCAGGCTGTGGAAGTCTGGAGGAGGGTCTCTCCTGCCTTTTTGTGCCTATGGGAATACCATCATCAATGCTTGGGTGAAGATTTTCCTGTGTGGCCTTAGGTGGGGAGTACCCACACTCCTCTAAGTAAATCCTCACCCATTGCTGTATGAGTAAGCCCAAACTCATTGGTTTCCCAGAGTGCAGTTTGGTGAAATGGTACCCTGGTCTGTCATTGGGACCATGGAGGAGCAGGAGGACATTGTTTACATTCTCCCCTTCCCCACAGGAATTATAGCAACAAATGAATAAAGTTAAAAGTAGAAATTAAAAGCTAAACAGCAAAGCATTGTTTAAGGCTAAATCAAAATAAAATAGATCAACAACCCAATTAAAAATTTTTCTGTATATGTTTACTAAATTTCCTTAATGAATATATTTTTCTTTAAAGGAAAGCACAAATATACAAAATAAAGAATGTAAAATTATTTACTTTATGTGTGTGAGTATTTTGACTGCATGTATGTAAGTGTACCTCATGGGTACAGTGCCCATGGAGGCCTGAAGAGGGCATCAGATCCCCTGGAACTGGAGTTATGGATGGTAGTCACCATATGGGTGCTGGGAACTGAACCTGGGTCTTCTGCAAGAGCAACCAGTGCTCTTAACTGTTAAGCCATCTCTCCAGTCCCTCAGAATAATTGCTCTAATAGAGAAATGTTACCCAAAATTTACATTTATTTATTTAATGTGTATGAGTGCTATGCCTGCATGTGTGTAAATGCACCAGTGTCATGCAATGCTCTGGCAGGCCAGAAGAGAGTGTCAGATCCCTTGGAACTTGAGTTACAGATAGTTGTCAGCTGCCATGTGGGTGCTGGGATTCGAACCCGGGTTTTCTGCAAGAACAACCAGTGTTCTTAACTGATGAGCCATCTCTCCAGCTCCCAAATTACTTAAACTCTTGTGCAAAAAGAAAGAATGAAGGGTTGGGGAGATGGCTAGGTCAGAAAAGTGCTTTGCTCATAACCACGAAGAACTGAGTCGGATCCCTAGAACCCATGGTAAAAGCTGTGCATTGTGAGGGGAAACAGAAACTAGCAGATCCCTGGAGCTCATTGGCTAGCCAGCCAATCCTAATTGGTGATTTCTAGGTCTTGGTAAGAGACTCTGTCAAAAAATAAGATGCACAAATCACTAAGAATGATACCTGTGCCTGGAGAGTTGGCTCAGCAATTAAGAGCACTGACTGCTCTTACAAAAGATCCAAGTTCGATTTCCAGCACCCACATGGTAGCTAATAACTGTCCTAACTCCAGTTCCAGGGAATTTGACATGCTCTTCTGACCTCCATAGGCACTGCATGACAGAAGTGCACTTACACAGGCAATACACTTATGCAGGCAATACACTCATACACATAAAATAAAAATAATAAAATATTTTAAAAAAGAATGATATCTGAAGTTGACCTGTGGCCTCAACATGCAAGTGCACACACATGCATGTGCATCTGCATATACTTGTACACATACATACATACCCACAGAGAGAAAGAAGGAAAGAAAGGAAAGAAACAAGGGCCTTAATATATCAATGTCTTGTTAGAAAAAGAAAGAAACACTGCCCAAGGGAAGAGATACCATAATCCAGGACTGGAGAGATAGATGGTTCAGTAGTTAAGAGCACTGACTACTCTTGCAGAGGACCGGGGTTCAATTCCCAGTACCCACATGGCGACTAACAACTGTCTGTAACTCCAGTTCTAGTGGATCCAATGCCCTCTTCTGATCCCTGAGGGTATTGCACAACATGGGCACACTTACATGCAGGCAATACACTCATACACATAAAAGTAATAAATTAAAAAAAAGAGATACCATAATCCATCAGGTGTGTGTGTGTGTGTGTGTGTGTGTGTGTCTGTGTGTGTGTGTGTGTGTCTGTGTGTGTCTGTGTTTGTTTTCATGTATTAAAACTACTTGGTGACACCCAGGACTTAGGGATCATTGTGGAAGAGGGTGAGGAAAGACTGTAACTGAACATAGGGAAGCAGAGGCTTTCAGGCCACTGGAAGCTTGCACATGTGAACTTGTGGCCATGGTGGCATCAAGCGCAGGACCCATTCGAACTCAATCAGATAAAGGCCCATAGTGGAGTAAGGGAAATGGGTGGCAGACTGGCCTTAGTCTGGGAACTATTAGAGACTGATTACTACTGGGTGAGGAAGAGTATGGCCTTATTTATGATCTCTAGATAGACTGACTAGACTCCAGTGGGTGAATTTGCATCAAAGGACATCTGGATACAAATGCTTGACTGGCTTGGACTTCACATGTATGGCAGAATACATAAGGTTGGGGGGGGTGTTGGTTGGGGGAGGGGGTCTGAATTTGATTAAGAGCAATTGTGTGAAATGTACAAAAGCTCAATCAAAACATTAAGAAAACTAGTGGGTGATACATGTTTACAGATTTATAGCCAAGTCATTATTTTGTATCTTAAAATACTTATCTGGAAAAAAAGTTTAAAGTTAAATTAAGAAAATATTTGGATCTCATGTCATAGAGTTAGACACTACCTCCCCCCGCCCTCCAGCCATCAAGGAGTTAACAAGCTACTTTTTGCAACAGATGGGGACTATTACAGAGTTCCAAAACTTTTCGAATGTGTAGAATAAGCTTTTGTGAGGTGCGTAACCCTAAGTGACAAATCTTCGATGCAACCTCTACACATAAGATGAATGCATTTCTCAACTCTCACCAAAGAAGTTTTCTTATGCAGCAAATGGTAATTAACATAGAAACCCACAATTGGCCAATGTGCAGAGAACAAGAGGCCACAGAGTGATTATTCCTGAATAGGACACCTATTTCAAACCTCTGCTTCCCAGGGCTTAGGGATCATTATGGAAGAGAAGGCAAAAAGATTATAAGAGCCAGAGGAGGGGGTGGATGACCACAAGGAAACAGAGTCTTCCAGACCGCAGGTCAGTTACTCATATAAACTCACAGCAATAATGACAACATGCACAAGTCCTATGCAAGCTCAAATCAGACAAAATCCCAGCATAGACATGGGAAAGTGGGTAAGAAATCCCAACCCAACCTAAGGAACTTTTGTCAATTGATGGCTGCTGGGAGGGGGAAAGGCAGTGTCTTACAGGGATAGGACTCTTGGTGGGACCAATGGATGGACTCACACTGAAGGACATTTAGGGACATAAATCAGACTCTATAGAACACACACACACACACACACACACACACACACACACATATTCATTAAATTGGGTGGGGGGCAGTAGCAGAAGGTGGGCATAGGGGATGGGATCTAAATACCATCAAACCACATTGTATGAAATTCTCAAAAATGCAATAGAAAATAAAATTTAAAAACAACTTTAAAGGGTGGAGTAAACTGAAGAAGTGTTGCAATTCTAAAATCTAAATACATGCTTTACAAAGGCATCATAAATCTTAATAAATCCACATAAATTTTAAATAAAAATGTATAAAGATTAAAAAGAGTAGTTATAATCTTTTTTGCTTGGTAAACATTTTAAAAAACTAATTTATTGAGAATTTCATACATGCATATAAGGTGTTTTAATCAAATCCATGCCCACTCCCTCCCGTCCAACTCCTCCCATATCTCCCGATCACTTTTTTCTGATAACTTCACATACTCTTTCTTGGTGATCATTTTTTTACAGTGCTAGGGTTTAAACTGAGGGACCTGTACATGCTAGACAAATGCTCTACCACTTAGCATATCCCAATAACTTCTGAAATTTGGTAAAAACAGATCTATTATTCATTATCAAAATTATACATGATATTTTGGTACCAAAGTTTTATACATTGATATATACTCATTGTAGAAAAATCAGAATAATCAGAAAAAGTTTTAAAAATAAACAACCACTCAAAATCAAATCCTATCCAAGTATTTTAATTAATTTTTAATTTATAGACCTTAAAGATTTATTCCTAAGGAATCTTTTTCCTCATATTTTTATATGTTAATTTAATGGGGTCATATTTTATGATGAAGATGTTTTAGCTAATGCCATATTAGGTTTCATTTTAATTTGTCAATAAATCTGCACACTTTGAAGTAATGGTCCAGGTACATGTTATAATTTTTTTGGCACCTATAATTTACATGTCTCACAAATTTTGCTGGAGCCATGAAAAATATATTTTATGCTATTGCCCATTTTTACTAGACACTTATTAGGCATTCTTACTGTATCTGTAAAAGAATTTCTTTTAAAAATATCTTTAAAGCATTACACTTATCCTTCTGATCTTAATTTTATTTAGGGCTAAGAATAATTTTAAAGACATTCATTTGTATTTATTTTAGAAAAAAGTTGCTTATGATTAAATTTCAGGTACTTCATTACAACTACTAAAGCTATGCATTTTATAATAATTATGAAAATAAATCAATAGATTACCACAATGAATTATCAGAAGCTTGAAAGGTACCACATATGTTTACCTGAAGTGGGGGACTTGCAGCGCTCAAGTTCCAGGGGAACAGGACTATCATTCAGCTCGGTTAAGCCTGAAAATATAAGAGAAAGAGAGAAGAGAGAG